ATTTCTCCTCTTCCTCCTCCATTTGCTAAGATGGAAATCTTGAATCATGTTATAGGGCAAAAATGTAGATTCATGTAGGCTCAGATCCTCTGTGATGGCACTCTTGCACTTCTATGTCCAGAGACTGGGGAGGGGGTGTTCAAAAGCACTCTTATGGCGCTTTGCCACAGTCTCAACTCATCGGTTCCGCAACATACCGCACCAGTTAAGGGTATGGTATGTAATCCTCTTACATTAGCACAAAACTTAGTATGAACATGCCAACATGCAGTCCAAATCATGCATGTTAAGGTACATGGCTACTCTAAATCGTGACTAGGTATGAGAGACAGCACGAATGGCTGTCTATCCCGTATGTCTCCTGTGTCTTCATGTGGCTTTGTGATGGACAGGTGGCCATGGCATCTTTTATCTAACGACTGAATGAAACCAGCTCCTTGAACAAGAACAAGTAAAGAAACTAGATGAATGGATGGTAACATTTTAGTTACATTTCAGACAACTGGGACATCAAGAAACCAGACCTTTTATACATCTTATGCAAGTCTCCACTGAATACTTGCACAGATACTGATTTAGCTGATGGTTACTTGGTTTTGTCATTTGGTAATGAAAAATAAATATACTCTTGGTGAATTTTACTGCCAATTACTAAATATATTTGAAGTCAGTTATACTTTAATATTATCGTCATTAGAGCCACAGGTATTTATTGGCTTTAGAGGAGATTTATCTGAAGTTCACATGAATAAATGGAAATTGCACATGGTGACTCTAGTCACTTGCAGTCACATTTTACAGAGTTCCTACACAGTCCTGAAATATAAGAAAAAAGTATGGAACTTTATTTTAGTATTTTCCATGTTTGAATAAGTATGGAGGGAAAACATACAGTAGTATGGAAAAACAACTGGCTCAGTTGGTAGAGTTGTTGCCTCTCAGCAAGGTCATCGGATCAAATCCCGGCCGGGGTCCTTTCTGGGTGGAGTTTGCATGTTCTCTCTGTGCATATGTGTTTTCTCCCACAGACCAAAAACATGCATGTTAGGCTGATTGGTAACTCTAAATTGTCCCTAGGTGCGAGTGAGAGAGTGAATGGTTGTTTGTCTCGTTTGTCTCTATGTGGCCCTGTGATGGACTTGCGACCCGTCCAGGGTGTACCCCGCCCCTCGCACAGTGATTGCTGGACATGGGCACCAGCGACCCCCGTGACCCAAAAATGGAATAAGCGGGTAAAGAAAATGGATGGATGGATGGATGGAGGTAAAACCTCCTCGCTATAAAATGTTAACTTTAATGCGTGGACATAAAAATGGGGTCAAAAGCTGGCAAAAGAATCATGAGACTGCAAAAGTATGGGAATTCAGAACTCTGCATGCAGCACGTTTGGAGCAATTTGGAATAAAGTCACAATACGAGTGCATTAATGTGAGAGCATTATCGCTTAGACTCCATAAGACTTGTGTTGGTTTATATAAATCATACAATGTTTCTATCTCCGAGTGAATGTTTTTTTTCCTGCTCTGCATTTAATGAGACTTTTCTGCCCTGCTGTGCCAAGATATAAACATCAAGTCATGGCGATATAAAAGAGACTTGTCAGCTCTCTAGCTCAGCATGAGTAATCAAATGTTTGATGCGAGACCGTTTGCTGAATCTAGTCCTAAAAGAAGACAAGCTTTGCTTTCACACTTTTTCTTGCGTGAGGTTTTAACTTGCCAGGCATCTCCACTTCTTCCAATAAACAAAACTTGAGGTAACTATATTTGAACGATTTACTTATTTTGCCATTCGCTCTTTCTGCTTATTGTCAAACAGCCGGTCTGAAGGCCATCTCAAGGAAACAAACTTTCTCTGAAGGCAAAGAAGCACAAGAAGTAGAAAAGTAAACCTTCAAGTATGTGTGTGTTTTTGTGCATGAGGAGCCTGAGCTCGTTTGTGCTTCTGTTACACAACGGGAGAGTTCTTCCCATCTGCGCCTCCTCGCAGCCCCCGCATCCCTGAGCGATGAAGCGAGAAAAGACAGCTTTGCCTTGCACTCTGCCTCCCTCAGTCTTCCTCACAACGCCGTCCCGCTCTTTATTAGCATCATCAGCTGCCTACAAAAACACTATTTGCTCAACTTCTTTTAGTTTTTTACTAAAGTATATAAAATACCACACTGGAAGGCATGAAAAGATGCATCATTCATCAGAAGCAAGTCCTTCTCCTGTTAGCATCACGTGGGTTTGGTTTTTAGCTTAACCCAAAACACAAACCACTCTGCAGGGTGTCTGAATTTACTTTTTGTGCTCAAATTCCAGATTATCCCACTAAGTGCATCTCTGTCTGCATCACAAACCCTCCTCCCTCTCCCCCCTCATCTCCATCCCTGCCTTTCCAGCTCGCCTAACTTCCCACAGGGCTCATTGTTGTGGAAAATATGTTAAAACAAAGGAGGGAGACAGTGCAGTGATAATCCTAAACGCAGCAGCTGGAGAATTAGCTAGCCACTCGCAGCGGGACTGCCTTTCTGAGATTGAATGAATAACATTCTGGTTATCAGAGCTAACAATTTGTCTTTGCCTCTACATACCAGTTTTTTTTATCTTTTAATTATAATGCAAGCTAGTTTTCACCTCACATTTCTGATTTGGACACCGAAGCAAAAGGTTGATTGAAAAACACGATGCAACAAGACTTTTATGCTCAAGGCATTTTAGGCATTGGGCGGCTATGGCTGAGTGGTTATTTCATTCAACCTTTATTTAGACAGGTTAATCCCATTGAGCCTCGAAGACTCATTTACAAGAGAGACCTGAGACCTGGTTAGAGCAGTCGTTAGAGCAGTCATCCTCCAATGCAAGAGTTGAGGGTTCAAATCCACCAGCAGTCACATGTTGAAGTGTCGCTGGGCAAGACACTAAACCGCTCATTGCCTCCGATGTGTGTCCATCGGTGAATGAATGTGATCTAAAGCACCGATTAGTCTCTTTAGAATGATTTGTTCAATTAGCTTTGTATAGATCTAGTGGAGTGCTGTATGAATGGGTAAATGAGGGCACAGATTGTAGTGTAAAGCACTTTGAGTGTCTTCATAAGATAGAAAGGCGCTATATAAGTACAGTCCATTTACATTTACCGTTAGACTATTGCCCCAGGGTCTTAACTCTTTCTTCTCACTCAAATAAAAGAAATGCACATTACCTACCATTTCTTATGCCAGAGTTTTAGATTGAGATCATCTCATGTTATGTACAATTACATGCAATGTCTAAAGATGTCCAATTCAGGATATATGTTAGTACAGACTTTTGGCTACTACCATGTCAACTTTTAGCTCAATATCTGTAAAACAAAGAGTTATAGACACTTTTATGTAGGCTATTGTTCATTAAATGTGGCAACCATCTTGACTTGGATAGACTCCAGATGTAATTCATTTGTAGATGTAAACTCACTGATTACTTTGAGGCATTCAAATTACACTAAACTATTAATTACATGACATTAAAATTCTTCAAGTTGTTCATGACATACTTTGCCAGCCTGGGAGACACACAAACACGTGCATAACCAGATGCAGGTAAAAACATTGGGTGTTCATTTTAGCTTTTCAGCAGAGTGTGGTAATTATCTAGCATTGCACTGAGGTCTGAGGACAGTTACCTTTTGCGTTTACCATTATAACATCTGTTCCCTTGTTCCAGTTCATCCTGGCACTGTTGTGGACATGTGACACCTACATCCTGCAGCCTGTCTGGTCAAAAACTGCACCAGTCCAAACTCTTACATCTCAATAGGCACTTAAACACCAAGTACTTTCACAGCTAAATGCTACCAAGACATAACTTACCAAAATTATGCATGACCGCTACTAATCGCACCTTGGTAAACGACATTCCCAGCCCTAAGATGATATCAAATATTTGAGCAACTCAAAAAGTGCTTGGTTTTAGCTCATGACCTGACACAACCTCTCCCAACAGAAACTTACAATAAACTAAAAACCTCCTGATGTGTTTTCTTTGTAAAGCAACACACCTCTATTATTGTCAAATTTCTTCCTGGAAGTCCCGTTAGTCTCTAAAGTTGTGCAACTATTGTTCTAGCTGTTCTTTTAAAGGTGCCATGGCTCAGTGGTTTGTTCGTATGTACTTTCAGCAAAATACCTCATGAACCAATGGACAGATTTTAATTAAACTCTCAGAAATTAATCATCAGATTTACTTTACAACCGAATAAATTTTGGAATCACCCTAGTTGGAGACGCTGCCACAGCAAATCAACTTCAGCCCATGCAAAAAAGGCTAAGACTTACTCAAAATTACAGATAGAGGTAATGTTCCTCACAAGATGTGGTTTTGGGGGTAATGAGTTAAAACTCTGCTATGAAAGGTGGCAGGTGATATACATTCCTTTAAAGAATAGTAATCCTTTTAATTCATTCAACCTTTATATATACACAGGTTAGTCTCATTGAGCCACGAGGACTCATTTACAAGAGACCTATAATTATGTTCTAGCATGAGCTAAAGGCTGACTAAAAAGTCACAAGTTTGTGGTTTAAGATAAAGGGACAGGTTTTTGATGGGACACCCATTATTTGAATTACATACAAATGCCAAGAAAGTTGCCTGAGAAAAGACCAGACTTGTAATGTCGACCCAGACTGACCATGCTCATTGTTCACCCACCCCACTGACATTCCACAAATAAGCAGAGGTGGATCTTTCATCTGGCTCCCACGCAAGGCCATTCAGAGGACACACATTTCAAGCTGTTCCGAGTGCACACACATACACACGCATATGCATACAATCCCACACACATCATCAGCCACTTGATCATTCAGGAACTGTGTGGTTTTAAAAGGAGACTGGTTCCATGAAGAACAGTCTGAAAATGCAAAAGAACCACCATGACTAAATTACACTCGCTCACACTCTGTTGTTCATTTTCCATGTGCAGATTAAAAATACCCCCAGCACAATAGATTAAAGACAGCAACCACCACTTACCTAGGTGGTCTCCATGGTAACTGTTGTCATGAGATGCTCTACCGTGGGGCACGAGGTCATGATGGGCAGCAGGTGGCCAGATTTGACCAGTCTTGCGAACACTCACAATAGTGGCCTCAGACATGACCACATGACCTCCCTGCTGCCTGTGGTGGCGCTTCTGGGATTGTGGCGTTGGTGGGCTGCTGCTATCGTAGGAGTGCTGAGAGTTCTGGGAATTCTGGGACGGCGAGCGGCTCTTCTCTCTGAACGGTCGACGGAAGGCTGTGGTTGGGCTCGGGGAGATGTGGCTGGACTGGCCCGAGGAGAAGTCCTCCTCGCTGGATGTCAGGTTCTCGTTAGAGCTGCAGTCTGGCGTGTAGCCGCCGCCTCCTCCGGTGTCCTCAAAACTACCTGGAGAGTAGGAACGGCGGGGCCAGGTCAGGAGGTGATCATCACCTCCGCTCTGGTCTCTCATCGTGACCCCACTACCTCCTCCTCTACCATCTCCACTTCCACCTTCACCCATCATCACCCCACCAACATAGACGCTGGAGTAGGCCTGGAACTCTGAAGGTTGCCAGGGAGGAGGAGGGGGTTTTCCACCATTGGCTCTCCCTGAATGCCGCTGGTTGGGCTCACCATCTTCATACTCTGCATCATAACCGCAGGTGCTCTCAGTAGACCTTCCTCTGTACACTGGCCTGGCACGGAGCTCACCTGCCACTGTTGCAAGATTACCAGGAAGGGAGTGGAGGGATCTCTTTCGCTCCATCTGCATGGCCTGAGTGCCCAGGGAGCTGATCTTATCGGACACATCTCGATCGTTGACTCGGACTAAACCCCTGTCGTGGTGGAACTCCATGTTGGTATAGAACGGTGGTGGCGGTGGGGGCAGCTGCCTCTCTCCTCCCTTTGCTTCACCGGTAGAGTGAGAGTTGGCCCTTTTGATCCTTTCAAAGTTGGATCTAAGTGCTGCCACACCAAGTCCCATCCCCAGCTTGTCCTTGGGGTCAGAGGGCAGCTCCTTTTCTGGGGGAGAAAGGGCAGGTCTGCGGGGTGACACAGACATGCCGCCCCTCTGCTTAGACGGGGAGAGGCCATCGAGGTTGTCGCAGGAAGTCGATTCAGCTTGCTGCGGGGCGTCAAACGCAGACTCCAGGCTATCGCCGTGCGAGGCAGATTTCCTGGCTGGTGGAGGTCTTGGTTTGGATCTGCCAGCTCCATCTCCAAGCGGCTGAAAACGACTCCTATCACCAACACCTGCACTAATATATCCTCCAGCTACGCCAACCCCACCAGTCTCCTGCATGTGGGGCTGCTGGGATTGGGACTCTGCGCCCTGCACCGCTGCAGGATCTACCCCCTCGTTGAGCGGCGTTTTCCTGAAGCCCCACCGCTGTTTGTCGTAGCTCTTCCTTTCTTTGGCCAGGAGGGTCTGCAGGTAGATCATGCGAAAGCGCTCCTTGTTCACCTCCTGCTCCAGGCGTCTAATCGAAGCTTTGCACTTCTCCAGCTCCTGCTCAATGCCTACCACGGACCGCAGCTCCATCTTGGGGGGTTCAGATTCTGGGAACTGTGCTTTCCAAGCCTCTATGAATCCCACCGGCTCCACCATACTGTGCTTAATTTATTTCCTATGACCCTGGTTCACACACAAGGGGGGGCTGCTGGTGTGGTGCCACGTTTGGACCGTGTCCGAGTGCAGTACACCCCTGTGTCACTACAGACAACAATGGCCAGGTCCAGTTAAATCCCGCAGGCTTTTAGGAAACCAGGAGCCTAATTGACGCCACTTGTCGCAGCAATCCCATTCTAAACAAGAGACTGCGTCTCAGTCAGAAAGAAAAAGGAAAGGGAATAAAAAGCTGCAATAAAGCTCATGTTTCTTGCGCATTATTTCCGCAGTTTTTTTTTTTTTTTTAATTCTCTGGTGAAGATGAATGAAGAAAAATCAGCGTCGACACAATGACTGACGTCTTGGCAGGGGGACACAGAGAGGAAGAAAAAACAAAGAAAGTGTTTTAATCCTGCTCGCTTCACTTACTTGTCACTCCAGGTTTTTTTTTTTTGCCCTTTTATTTTAAACAACGCAGTTCCGTTCACTCTTGTGCATTTGTACGGTTTTATTCCCAGGTGCTGCTTCTCTTGAAAGAGCCTTTGTATCAGCAGAGATAAAGGAAATATTTAAAAAGCCCAAACACGAGAGTTTTAAGGACGAGTTTAAGCGCTCGAGTCCGGCGTCAGTGAACAGCTTGAATCTTTTATCCCATTTCGGATCCAGTGCACCTGTTTGGTGTTAAAGGTTTTAATGTTTCCTTCCAGACTCATCCCGTGTCTTGGGGACGTGATGCTGCTGTGCGCGCGCTCCCCATCTCCGGCCAGCAGCACTGGAGGCGCAGAAAGCAGTGGGCGGGGCCAAGAGGACAGTCTGCTGGTTAAAGAGACAGAGCAGACGAAACGTCACTTCCGTTCAAGTTCAGAGGAACCCAAAGTCTCTAAACCTCACAATTAGCAGAAAAAAAAAAAACCCTCTCATTTGAGTTTTCTTGCGCACACTATACAAACATAACCTGTTAAATTAATTGTGAAATTCTTGATTTCACCTAATTGTAACTTTCTAATTGTCGTGATTTCAATTAAAGCCAATAATCTGTAATACTGCGTCATTTTATCAGCTCTAGGTCGATTTTAAAACAGTTTCTTCTGATAGCGGGTCATTAGGGTCGAGTCAGCTGTTTCAACTAAATGCTGCCACCTGGTGGTCAATTTAATGCACTGCATTTAGGGAAACCCTTGGTAATTTGCTAAATTTGAGTTTAAAGTTTGTAAATTGACTAAATTATAGCCATTTATGTTTCACTAACATTGGAATATGTGTTGTGTATGACTCTCAGCTACTACCACATCCAGTTTTGGCTGAATAGCTAAACAAATGGCCAAGCTTTAGCCATGTTATGTGTTGTTTGCACTCGTCTTGAACTGACTCCAAATGTTAATAGCGGAAATGTTTTTTGTTTGTTTGTTTTTAAATCAGAGAAGTGGTTCATGACATATTTTGCTAACAGTATAATAAGGTTGACTCCCAAAACGTGAAGGTTTGAACAAACAGTCTTACACAATAAGTACGTAGCCTGTTTGACATTTGGGGAGAGGGTTGTGGTAGGTTGGTGGTCAGTGCCACATTCTTGTAATCCTGGGGTTGTGGGTTTGAGCCTAGGTTGTGTCAGGAAGGGCATCCAGTGTTAAAAAAAGAAAAGAAAAAAGAAGCCAAATCGTTCATGTGAGTCTTCTTGCTGTGGTGAACCCCTGATGAAGGGAGCAACAAGATGCTCAGCTAAAACTACAAGTTTCAGCAAAACTAAATGAATTATAGCCATTTATCTTTATTCTAACTGGCTGCTAAATTTAATCACTTGTACATACAAACGATTATTTTCTGAAAGTTTCATTAAAATCCATACAGTGGCTATTGAAATAATCTAATTAAGTTGACACCAAAATGGCACTTTTTTTAAACAAAGATCTTGTGGAATCTTGTGGAATCTGGTAGCGCTCATGTGCTGAGCAGCAGCAACCCAGGCTTCACAATCAACCACCAGGTCGCGACCAGTTCAAACTCTACAATCAACTGTTCCTGAATCAGTCAAAGCCTTTTATCCTGCAGCTTTAACCCACAGAAAAGTGACCATCTTTCTCACAAAGGATGACCTCACTTCTAAGTCGTTCAGCTTCACCGGCCACCAACAGATCCAGGCTCCACCAGGCCCCGACCAGACTCCATTATTTGCCACCAGTCCCAGACACCAGGTCAAGTAATAAACAGACAGTTCAGGAACTCCCTGGATCTTCAGGCGGATGGATCCCACTGACATGATGGTTGTTGCCACTAGGTACAGCAGCTGAGCAGACTCCAGCACCAACTAGCCAGGTCCTGTGAACAAGCCTATCCCAGGCCACATTATCAGCTACCAAGCCTGATTTAAACCTGACCAGGTACAGCCTGTTCCAGAAGATAGGCAAATAAACTCCTCCTCTGGTCAGCCTAAGATCATCTGCAGTGATCTGTTAATTTGGAAAAATCCATTCTCAAACCATCTGATCTGTTGGTTTAGGTAGTGCTTTCAAATACTTTTTAACAATAGGTTATCGTCCTCCCTCAGCTGCAGTGATATTCATCGACCTAGCTAGATCACACCATCCTATTAGAGAAATTAAACTATAATCAAAATGTCTGGTCAGCTACTGACATAGCTTTCAAATTATTTTTTCCAATAGGTGGCAGCAAGAAAAGGTTGATCCTTATATACACATATTCTTTGTTTCATCGGGTGTGCCCCAAGGTTCAATTCTTGGTCCAATTCTTTTTCTCTCTCGATATTTATAAATGATGTTCCGCAATCCGTTAGTGAAGCTTCCATTCACCTACATGTTGATACAATTTTATACGCCATCGGTTCCACTCTAGGTGATGTAAAGTCTCTAAAATACAGCTTGCCTTTGTTGCGTTAAATTTAGGCGGTGCTCCCTTCCCTTCTGTGGACTTCACAATAAATGATCTTGTTGAACTCCATTTTGTACACACCATATTAATGTATTAAAGGTCAAGGCAGGACTGGTGATCTGTACAGAAATCATTCATTTACACTGGCTGAGACACAATTTACATAAATGCATGTAACTATTTATTCTGATGCATGCTCAATAATTTGGGTAGATACATAAGGTTAAGTCAGCTCCTCTTTAGTTTCCTCTTTTATCCAAGACTTCTTCAGACTGAAGAAGTGTCAAACATTAATGTGGGCCTTTAAAACAAGTAAATAAAAAAAGACAAGTCAAATACTTTACTATTTTATTTACCTGAAATCACAACCTCATTAATGCATGTACAATCATTTCTTTTACCTTCATAAATGATTGACGTCTCCTTTACATATGATTAAAATCATACCTCAGTTGGGTGTCTCGAGGAGACCCTCACTTTAAATCACAGTTTTACAGCAGTTGATAAAGATTCATAATAATTATAATATAACAGGAATGTCAAGGCAATAAGAAAACCAGACATGTTTATATTGCAGGATCACAAAGAAATGAGTCTGTTTAATGAAAAAAGACAATCATTAAAAGTAAATGGCTTAATGCCGAGAGAATGGGCAAAAAAAAAAAAAAGTTAAGGATGAATCAATTCTCCATTTCCAACATTGTGCAAATTTCCCAAACCATTACAATAAAAAGTGATTTTACAATTTATTAATCACATATTTAAAACCATCCTAATATAATTTGAGTATTACACATTAAAATCTATAAATGCAAAAAAAAAAAGAACAAAGCCTACGTACAGCAGAAACATGCACAAATGTTTTGTAGACAGATGTACAGCTAAGATTATTCAACCTAGTGTTTTGGAAATTTCCCACATTACAAGGTAACATGAGTTCTTCATGCAAGAGGGATTCAAAGGGTGCTAGAACTTCCCTGCACATAAAACAGGAATATTGTCATATTTTTGCACAAATATGTGAAGTGTTTGTGGTTGTGATGCAAAGGGCAAAAAGAAATATATATATATTACATATTCAGTCATTGTATTCCTCTTTACCAGTTAATTGGTACAAACTGCTGGTCTTCATGGTGTCTGCATATTGAGCGCGGCTGGATGAAAAGATGACTCCAGATTCTCATCCCAAATTTAAACTGCAAGCTTTCATGAAAGCCAACCTAAAAAGGGGGAAAGCAGAGTCAGAATAAAACACTGGCCTTTAAAAATGATCAATATTCATCTTGTACAAAGATGGATTTTGTGAAGCTTGTGTCAGAAAAGTGAAAAGAATGGCACACGACATTCACTACAGTGGAATGTGGTCGAAGACTCACGATTTCTCCCTTGTTTACGTATATTTACATCAATTTTGAAAAAAGTTGGGACATTGTGTAATATGTAACAAAAACCCATTTGCAAATCTTGTAAACCCATATGGAGCATAATAAAGACACTCAAGTGGCACAAACAAACTAAAGGCACATTTTGCAATTAAATAAATTGCCATCAGGTCAGTGTTGAAAAATAAAAAAACATATCTGTTAGAAGTAAAGATGGGCAGAGGTTCACCAGTCAGTAAAAAATAATGCGTTTCCACTACCATTATGGGTCGATCCCCAGTCATTGCATAGGGGTGCGCAAATAGGCTCCGCCCACCACACCACCCTGGATGGGCTAAATGCAGAGAACCAATTTCACCATTGTATGGGAACATACATTGATGACAATACATTATTATAAAAGCAGGGTGCCCCGCCCTGTCAACACTGACATAGCACTAAGCTAGCCGAATGCAAGACATACTAGCTAAGCTATAGAGGTAGCGCTCCTTTTCCCTCATACAATCATTTCTACCCCCACCCCCATGCTCAACAACTGTTGGTACAAACAGCATGCAACACAGACGTGTCTCCACTCTCTCCATAGACAAAAATCATGGAAGAGGTGCGCTCTGCCTAGTGAACTAGGGGAAAAGCTAATGAACTTAAAAACAGTGGAAAAATTTTCAAAACGGCTGCCTTTCTGATGGTATGGGGGTACATTAGTGCCAAATTCCACATCAGGAAATGCAGTCATACAGGTTTTAAAACGTGCTTCTATCCAGATGTCTTTCAGGGACGGGCTTGTACGCTTCAACAAGACAACGCTAAACATTTGATTACCATAAATGTGGGTTTATGAGTTTGCAAAACGTTGCATTTTGTTTTATTTCCATTTTACACAATGTCCATTTGAACTTTGTATTTTAAACACTTCTACATGAGACATGATCAAACAATGTCTTCTACAATGTTTAGTGGAGGATGGAAGAAATGGATACTCACGCTAGTGACAGGAGAGCCAATGGAAGGCATTGAAGAAAAAAAATTAAGACACACAAGTGGGTGAGAACAACCAGGCTTCTACCTAAAACACATGCTTTTGATGGGTTTCACACAGAAATGTTCACACAAATTAATGCTCAATTAGTGCAAAATGACTCGGATTCAAACTATTCAACCATAAGCTAAGCGCTCTACAGTCTAAGGTTTCTTCCAATAGCTCCTGCAAATCATGTTAAATCAAAAAAACTCAAGCATTTGTGTCTGAAATGTTTTGTATTCAAGTAAAATATACACGTACAAAAACACTTGTTGTGAAACGGAAAACCACGAGCCTCAAATGTTTAAATAAAGACAGAAAACACTTGATTCAAAGGGTTCATGAGTGTATTTTTCTTAAAGTAGAAAAACAAAAAAAAACAATTTGTTTTATTTGCAATGTTCATGTGAAAAACTTGTTTTAGTATTATTCTTTAAAGATTACCGTCCTTTGAATCAAACGCTATGGAGATGGTAAACAGCATCCCCACCCAGCTCTGCCTCCACAGCACAACAAAAATTAAGTTAAAGAATGCCACAAGTTCATACAAACAAAATATTTCCTTAAAATGGGGTTAAAGGGGAGGAAAAAAAAGATTTTGTTCTTTTTCTGCACAATAGGGGGGCACACCTCAATGTTTTTTTAGTACGACCGTTGAAAAGCATGTCAAGATGAGCAAAACCTATTGTCAATTTGAGGTAGCTGTGCTCTGCCAGGTGCAGAAAAACTGACTTACTTTCAACACTGTAAAAAAAAAAAAAACTATTACAAAGTTATTTATGCTTTAACGAGGGGGACGTTTATAAATTAGAAATGAGAAACCACAGAGTTCATGCTTAGTCACAGGACATGCAGCTTTTTTTGTTTTGTTTGTTTCGTTTCTCAATTTTTTTTTTTCTTTTAGTTTTAACCAAACCTTTCCCCATCCTTGTCTGCCATATGGAGCTTGTCCTCTCAAGAGTTTTTACTGAAGACACAATGGTAAAACAGAAAACAAATCAAGGCGATATCTCTAAGTCACGCTGGTTAAACAATTTACAAAGCCATAAAAAAAAAAAAAGGTTTGCATAAAATAGTGTTCAATCTCTGTACAGGTCAAATAATTTGATATCTTAAACTTCCTTTTCAATGGGAGGGAACCTCAACAAAACTACTTTTTAGAACTGTAGTGACACAGAACACATCTTTAAAACATATCTTAAAGGTAATATTAACAAAAAAAAAAAAAGTCAACACTATATTTGCTTTTAAACCAGCAACACAGTCCAAAGCTATGGGAGTGGTGGTCCTCTTAACATATTTTAAAGCCTCATCCATTCACAAGTCCTATCTCAACTCAAAACAAACTTTGAACTTTTTTATATTATTTGTTAGATTCGATGAGTTGGTCCTTCTCGTGCGCACAAGCTCACACACACACGCTAAGTCTACAAACGCTCACGCACGCTAGCTATGCACATTTAAGAAGGCAGAGAGAGAAGGAGAGGGAGGTGATGGCAGTGGGAGGGGGATGAAACAGTTGAGGTTGTGCTCAGGTCAGTCAGGACATGAACATGTCAGCCATGTTAGTGTCAGAGCTGTAGATCCACACAATCAGTGGGAGGGAAATGGCCACGAAGGGCCAGGAGATGCCCTCCATACATGCAAACAGGGAGCAGGCTTTGCAGCTGGCCGGCTTCTCCAGCTCTCTACCGGGCTCCAGGTAGTTCCTGGCAGCAAACTTGAGCATTTCGTCCAGTAGGATGACGGGCAGCGAGATCTTGAGCACCATTAGCCACTGAGTCAGATTCAAAGGGGTGATCTGGAAGATGATCTGTAAAGTAATTCAGAAAGATGTACGGCTTTAGAGACTTGGAGAGCAATATATACCGTATTTTCCACCGTAACCGTCGCACCACCCTATTAGTCACATCAGTCCAAATATGTCTAAAACAGTGGAAAATCCATAAACATGTTGCTTTGCCGTATACATTGCATCCATTATGTGTCACCGCTGACGCGTCGCGTTTGTTACTCGTCACCGCTGACAACCCAGAAATGTGGGACGGTGTTGTGCCAAAAATTGATGAGCTGCCAAATGGCGGCCGCTGGACTGGGCACAGAAGGACTTTAACAAGAATTTAACAAGATTAACACTTAAAAACAATTATTTGTTTGCTTGAAATTATAGTAAAGGTGTGTCTCAGTTTAACTTTTGCTTAATAAATGCACTTTAATGGTCAAATTAGCTGCATTTCGTCGGGGCGGTGCAGCTGGTTTGACGGTTGCTACAAGCAACGAGCAGAATGAAGGTGGGGTTTATGGCAAGCTGATTGTGTCATTAATAACTGGTGAAGATTCTCAGTCATCCAGGACATGGTAAATTCAAAAAACTTCAAGAAAAAAAAAAAAGTATAATACATAAAGTCCAGTTGTTTTTGTCTTGAACTTTTGAATTTGTCATTATAGCCACGTTTACCTATTACATGATACAACGGCATGCCATTCACTACTACTTCTGCTGCCATCTAGTGACTGAAAATGGTACTGTTCAATTTATTTATTTGTTTTTTAGTCAGAATGAATGAAAACAGTCATATCTCAGTCAAAAATTAATTTATAAATATGGCAAAAAAAAAAAAAAAATACGTTGCTTCAGCCTATAAGTCGCAGGGCATGTAAATTATGCTAAAAACTGCAACTTATAGGCTGAAAAATACAGTAGATGTACATGACAGCAGGATTACTTATTTGGTTATCCAGTTAAAAATATTCCTTACTGGAAGAGGCTCCACATAGAGGATGAGGAAGTGAAGAGACATGGAGAGGCAGATGGCTCCAAGCAGCCAGACATTTTCCCAGGGAGGCATTCGTAGAAGGGACTGGTTCTCCGACACACTGAGAAACAACACAGATAAATGAAACGGGTAAAAATAGACCATACGACCATGAGAACAGAAAAGGAAGACATGTTGGAACCAACCTGTTAAGGGCATTGCACATCTCAATGGTGACCAGCACAGACAGGGCCATGGTCATAGGGTAGGGGGACTCAAACACCTTACAGTCCAAACCCTGGAACTCTGGGTTTTCTGGACCGCATTGCAGGAAGTGGCTCTGTGAAATGTGACATATTAGAGCCAAGAGGAAAGGAAGGCAGTGTTCAGATGTAGTGAAGTAGAATACTAGAAGTTCAAATTACCAGCTGGTAGAAGGTGATCCTTGGTCCGTCTTCAGCAGCAACAAACCACCAAGAGGCAGCACCGACAGTGGCAGCCCCAACGTAACCTGTTAGCATAAAAAAAGTAAGTCACTCACAGGTGTTGCCTGCTTACTTACTGGTACATAAAGCAGAATGGATGACGTCATAAACGTTTATTTTCACAATTTTAGCAAAAATATGCACATTTTTGGAGGGATTTGGTGGCATGGTCTGCACAGTAATCAGTAGAAATTGTTTACTCTCCTTGCAGACAAAAACTTACATCCGATAGCGAGGTATCTGAAGAAGAGCCAGCCGGAGATGAGGGGCTCTCGAGCATTGCGTGGAGGTTTGCTCATGATGTCCAGGTCAGGCGGGTTGAAACCCAAAGCAGTGGCAGGTAAACCGTCAGTCACCAGGTTGACCCAGAGCAGCTGAACGGGGATAAGAGCTTCAGGGAACCCCAGAGCTGCTGTCAGGAAGATGCTACACACACAAAAAAATAAAATCGTGGAGGTTACGGAAGGAAAAACAAATGTTCTGACGGACGGTTCGACATAAACCAACCTTACCAGACAACTTCGCCCACATTAGAGGAGATGAGGTATCTGATGAACTGCTTCATGTTGTTGTAAATGGCTCTGCCTTCCTCAACCGCAGCTACGATGGTAGCAAAATTGTCATCAGCCAGGACCATTTCCGAGGCGGTTTTAGCCACAGCTGTTCCTGAGCCCATGGCGATGCCAATCTCGGCCTTCTTCAGAGCGGGAGCATCGTTTACTCCATCCCCTGTCTGAAAGCAGGGAGACAGAACAGTGAGAAACCATTTACCTGTAATATCAAAGCTACTCGACTTAAAGGAATATCACTTTTTACCATAGCTGTAATCTCATCGTAGGATTGTAGATACTCGACAATCTTGGACTTATGAGCAGGCTCGACACGAGCAAAGCAGCGAGCTTTGACCACAGCTTCTCTCTGCGCAGCAGGTGTGAGATCGTCAAACTCTCTGCCAGTGAAAGCCATGCTAGAAACATCGTCTTCTTCACCGAAGATGCCAATGCGTCTGCAAATAGCCACAGCTGTCCCTAAAATACACACGTGCAGAGTTCAGACTTCCCAAAATCTTACCAAGCAGTTTTGTTTTATTTCATTTTGGAAGTGAAACTAAAGTAATTGGTGTCAGCTCTGTTGGTAAAATGGTCTCCAGTTACCCTTGTTGTCTCCAGTGATCATGATTACTCTGATGCCTGCAAGGCGACAGAGCCGAATGGAGGCTGCCACCTCCGCCCTGGGAGGATCCAGCATGCCGACGCAGCCCACAAATGTTAGATCAGTCTGGATGATGGAAAAAGAAAAATGACTAAAAGTAAAACAGGAAAATGTTAATGCAAGAAGAATATTCCAGACTCCTACCTCATACTCTATAAAGCGAGAGGAGTCCTCCAAAACCATTTCATCTTTATTCATGGGATTATCTCGCGTTGCCAGAGCCAGGCAGCGCAGGGTGTCTCTGCCCGTCCCATACTCCCGGATCACAGACATGATTTTTTCCTTGATGCCAGGGGTCATGGGCACCTTGTTGCTGCCTACACGGATGTGTGTGCACCTGTCAATCACTCCCTCGGGGGCGCCCTGAGAAAAGACCATTATGACAATGAGGAGGACATAAACATTGTACCATATTTTTCAGCCTAGAAGTCAGTTTTTTGCATAATTTGCATGCCCTGTGACTTATACACTGAAGCGACTTATGGATTTTTACCCATATTTATAAAACAAATTTTGGCTGCGATATGACCGTTTATCCATTCTGACTGAAAATATTGAATACTAACATTTTTAGCCACTAGATGGCACTTGAGTAGTAAGGCATGCCATAGTGTCATGTAATAGGTAAACATGGCTATTAATGACACAATCGGCTTGCCACAGCCTGCCACCTTCGTCCAGCTCACTTGGAGCAATCATCAAATCAGTTTCAATTCACTGCGCCGCCCCCGGCGAAATGCAGCTAATTTGACCATCGAAGTGCATTTATTAAGTAAAAGTTCAACTGAGACTAACCTTTGCTATAATTTTGAACAAACAGTTGTTTTTAGGTATTAATCTTGTTAAATTCTTGTTAAAGTCCTCCTGTGCACGCTTGGCAGTCAATCTATTTTTGGCACAACATCAGACCACATTTCTGAGTTGTCAGCGGTGACGCGTAATAGATGCAACTTATATGGCGAAGCGACAAATTTATGGATTTTTCCACTTTATTAGACATATTGGGACTGATAAGACATGTACGGTGGAAACTACGGTAATAAGATGTGTATTGTGAGAAATATTTACCTTCACAAACATCTTGCCAGCAGAGGAGCGGGCTTTATTAGGAGTACAGTACACAGACATTGATTTCCTGTCTCGGGAAAACTCTAAAGTGAATTCTTTCTTCATCAGCTGCTTGATCACCTACAACAAAATAAAACCGCAGTAAGAAACGATTTATATTTAAAAAGAGTCGTATTGCTTTTAAATTTTTTTTTAAAAGAGTTAAAGGTTCCATACAGAGTTACAGGCGTTGGCTCGCTCAACCTTGGAAAGGCTTTTAATGTTTGTATCGAACACGTTCATTTTCTCCACCAAGCACGTCAAAGCAGTCTCCGTGGCCTCGCCCACTTTCTCATACACGCCTTTGATCTGGTCAAACAAACGATACAAGTGATGAGCCGTCTTTAGAAATTCAACACAAAACGAGTGAGACGTTGCCATGGTAGAGGAGCGAGGTTTACTGCGTGCCACACACCTCGTTATAGTCCAGTGACGAGTCGTTACAGAGAGCGCAGATGGAGGCCATCTCCACCAAGCCATCGTACTGGGAACATTTCACTGGTTTGCCGTTATGAAAACTAAAATAGAAGCAACAAAAGTGTCAAGAAATTAGTGAATAATTTACATATTTTACACAAACATGAGAGTAGTCTTCTCTAAATTGTTTAAATTAACAAAAGTACAAACGCAGGCCTGATTTATTTGCAGTGTACGCACTTATTTAAACCTTTTATAAACATTTAAAACACTCAATACTCACACTTCTCCATTAGGGGCATATGTGGAGCCAGTTACAGTGAACTCCTTTAACGAACAGCTGTCACCTTCAGTCTTATCGATGATAAACATCTAGAAGAAACAAGAGGAAAAACAGTTTGAACCCATAAACAGAAATGTGTCTGGAAAACATTTTACTCATTTTATTGAACGGATCAGTGCATTAGGTAACAGGTGAGCCAGCAGGTGGCAGCACATTACAATCTGTATGCAAACTACCCTCATACGCTGCTTTAACACTGAACAGAGCAGGAAAGTGGCATCCTGATCCAAAGCAGACACTGAGCACTGTGGCTGGGAAGGTCCATAAATGTCATCTAACACAAAACTGGAGACAAAAATCCTCTGGACAGTCCAGATACTTGACCCAGTACAGGTGGAAATATAAATTTCTGAATTTATTAATAATGTAATTACTTTAATATCTAAATTACTTTAGCCTTCTTTCCCCACTGCATTTGTAAATGTTTAAAATGAGTGTCAGCTCTTTAGAACGCCCTACTCTCTTGGTATATTTAAATATATTTAAAAAAAAGCTGATGACATCTGAATACTTATTCAAATTCTTATATCCAAGGCAGAAATTGACAGAGGATACAAAGATATGAATAGGATGAGCGAGCACCACTGCATTACTTTCCCACAGTGACAAAGCTACACTACATAACGATAAAACCACCTTAAAACACAGAAAACGGATCAAATGTAGCGAAGAGCAACATCCAGTTCGCTCATTTATGCTCTGCTCTATTTGGATGCTGCGTACGTGTCGGCTTAGGCTTCACTTGGAAAAAAAAACTGTAAGAGATGAGCAAGAGATGCAGATCGAGAGAAGGAAGAGAACGACAAGGTCAGTTATGCAACTCAACTGGTTTGCTGCTGACTAACTACTGCATACTGATCAGTATTCTGCTCGAGTTGAGAAATGGGGGCTGAAGAACGCATCGAGAGCAAGAAAGAATGGAAAATGAACTACGCACTTTGACAGCCACCAATTCTGCATCGCACTCCGAGCTATCCAACCTGTGCCGTGTACAGTTCAAACCTTATCACCACTAACTAAAGATTTACATAAACATGAAGAACATCTTTAACAAATGGCGCTGACATACCGTGCATCCTGAGGTTGGATCAACATAGCTCAGTTCTAACCAAAGGGTTCAATTAAAAGCAAAACATTCAAAGTCAGCCCACAAATCAGATTTAATCACAAGAAGCTATTCTTGTTCGCTCACCCTACACACAGACATCTGATTGGTGGTCAGTGTTCCAGTTTTGTCAGAGCAGATGACAGATGTGCACCCGAGGGTCTCCACAGAGGGCAAACTGCGGACAATGGCATTCTTCTTGGCCATGCGGCGTGTTCCTAGAGCCAGGCAGGTAGTGATGACAGCAGGAAGACCTGCATGACAGATTGCAACAGATGCCCCAAAGGAAAGGAGGATTAATTAGATTTGAGAGGATTTAAACAACTCAATGAGAAAAGGCAAACTTTACTTTGTATTTATTACATTAACAGAACTGATCTCTAACGAAAACGGCGCATATTGCGATTTTGCTTTTTTAATTCAACAACAACACGCATGTTGAGAACACAGCTGTATTTGTGTAACCCTTCAGCATACCCTCAGGAATAGCAGCTACTGCCAGAGCCACAGCAATCTTGAAGTAGTAGATGGCGCCTCGGATCCAGGAACCTCCATGGACAGGGTCGTTGAAATGTCCGATGTTGATGATCCACACAGCAATGCAGATCAGTGAGATGACCTGTAATTACATAGTTAACATGATTAACAATTAAAAGTCAAATTAAATCATTCAAAGTTTGACAGAGAAACATCTTCCACCTTAGACAGTTGCTCTCCAAACTCGTCCAGCTTCTGCTGCAGAGGTGTGCGCTCCTGCTCCGTCGATGCCATCTCATCTCGGATTTTACCGATTTCTGTGTTTCCAGCTGTGGCCACCACCACACCAATTGCCTTACCGGCAGCAATGTTTGTACCCTGACAAGTTTTAGTAAAAAAATTAAAATAAAACTTTAGTGAACATTTAATGAACAAAGCACCACTGGAAAAAAGATTTTGGAAACTACTGGAATCATGTCAAAAACCCACTAAAATTTCCATTGGAAAATCAGACTAGTACGCTAAATGCTTTTTTAAATTTGGTCGTGTGTGATGATTTCACACTATTCTCCCTTTGATGCTTTTTCTGTACGCTTTATGTGCTCAAACTACTTCTACACATGTTGTACTATTTTACCCTTACATACGTACATCAAAATCTACTCAACTGGAAATATTGTGTTAATATTATATTTGTACCTTTTTAAATTATTTAACTTTATTGACAAAACTTCCCCACATTATAAACTCTTAAAAGTTTTTACAAACAAAACAAAAAACCCTAAATATTCTGAATTGTCTTGCTATTTTTATCGTTTACCTACAGTTCGGCTTTATTTATTTTTAAAAGTTTGTCAAATTTTACCTTTCAGCTGCAGTTTTGCTGATTTTAGCTTATTTGTTTACCAGTTACATGAACTGGTAACTATTTTTCTACAAACTTCAGCTGTCGTTCATTCTAGTTACACATTTTTTAAGCAGGAAAACTAGTTTACATTCTACAAAACTGACCAAAAAAAAAAAAAAAAAAAGAAGCAAGAATTTCAAATGGGACAGAAAGAAAAATACAGGTGCTGGTCATAAAATTAGAATATCATGAAAAAGTTGATTTATTTCAGTAATTCCATTCAAAAAGTGAAGCTTGTATATTATATTCATTCATTACACACAGACATATTTCAAATGTTTATTTCTTTTAATGTTGATGATTATAACTGACAACTAATGAAAACCCCAAATTCAGTATCTCAGAAAATTAAAATATTAAGATCAATACAAAAAATATATATATATTTTTAGAAACGTTGGCCAACTGAAAAGTATGATATGAAAAAGATGAGCATGTACAGCATCAATACTTAGTTGTGGCTCCTTTTGTCTGGATTACTGCAGCAATGCGGCGTGGCATGGAGTCGATCAGTCTGTGGCACTGCTCAGGTGTTATGAGAGCCCAGGTTGCTCTGACAGTGGCCTTCAGCTCTTCTGAATTGTTGGGTCTGGCGTATCACATCTTCCTCTTCACAATACCCCATAGATTTTCTATGGGGTTAAGGTCAGGAGAGTTCACTGGCCAATTAAGAACAGAGATGCCATGGTCCTTAAACCTGGTACTGGTAGCTTTTGCACTGTGTGCAGGTGCCAAGTCCTGTAGGAAAATGAAATCTGCATCTCCATAAAGTTGGTCAGCAGCAGGAAGTGCTCTAAAACTTCCTGGTAGACTGCTGCATTGACCTTGGACCTCAGAAAACACAGTGGACCAACTCCTCTCTTCCTCCAGACTCTGGGACCTCGATTTGCAAAGGAAATGCAACATTTACTTTCATCAGAGAACATAACTTTGAACCACTCAGCAGTCGTCCCAGGCGAGAGGTTTCTGATGCCGTCTCTTGTTCAAGAGTGGCTTGACAAGGAATGCGACAGCTGAACCCCTTGTCTTGCATACGTCTGTGCATGGTGGTTCTTGATGCACTGACTCCAGCTGCAGTCCACTCTTTGTGAATCTCCCCCACATTTTGGAATGGGTTTTGTTTCACAATCCTCTCCAGGGTTTGCACACTTTTTTTTCTACCACATCTTTTCTTTCCCTTCGCCTCTTTATTAATGTGCATGGACACAGAGCTCTGTGAACAACCAGCCTCTTTAGCAATGACCTTTTGTGTCTTGCCCTCCTTGTGCAAGGTGTCAATGGTCGTATTTTAGACAACTGTCAAGTCAGCAGTCTTCCCCATGATTGTGTAGCCTACAGAACTAGACAGACCATTTAAAGGCCTTTGTAGATGTTTTGAGTTAATTAGCTGATTAGAGTGTGGCACCAGGCGTCTTCTTTGTAGAACCTTTTCACAATAATCTAATTTTCTGAGACACTGAATTTGGGGTTTTCATTAGTTTTCAGTTATAATCATCACCCAAAAAATAAATAAACATTTGAAATATATCAGTCTGTGTGTAATAAATTAATATAATATACAAGTTTCACTTTTTGAATGGAATTATTGAAATAAATCAACTTTTTCATGATATTCTAATTTTATGTCCAGCACCTGTATATACATAACTGCAAACTCAGAAGGGATGAAAAAGGTGACAAACCTAGCACCCAAAAAGTTCTTGGCTACAATATAAAACCCTGCCCTACAACAAAGGACAAGTTAACAAACAGCACAGGTTTGTACCTCTCCTGCTAAAGTCCCAAAAAGCACAAAAGTTGCTAGAGGGATTGTTGCAGAAGAGATTTGATTTTAGCACCAGCTACCAAATCCTGGTCTACTGCACAGAGACCATGACCTGCTAAGATGCTGTAGAGACATTTAACAAAATTAAATCAGGTCCTCTGGATGGATTTTAAAAAAATTCTTGAAATTATTGATCATGCATCAGGATATTTTAGAGACACCTCATTCAACTAGTCCATATCTGCATCGTCCTGTTTTTAAACTCACTCCTATGGCTAAGATATTAATGTGACACAATTTATCACAACAATAACTTTGGGGGTGCACTTGACTTTTATTTTGTTTACTTTTTATTTAGTTTTATTTGCAACACAACGTGCCATTGTGTCAAACTGTGGTGACACTGCACTGCATGTTTTAAAAATAAAGTATTAATTTTACCCAATGAACATTTTAAAAACCACCAACAGTGAATTTAGTGACTACTCATAACAGAAAATGACCTGGCATCATGCAGCCTTCACAACACTAAATTACACTGTGCCAAGCAAGTGACAAACAAACAAACAAACAAACAAACAAACAAAAAAAAACATGTCAGTTTTCTCAACCTGCATGTAATTATTAAAACAAAAATAATTTACAGGTTCCTTCCTACCTTGGTGCCACCACAATTTCTACACTTCATATATTTTATTGCCTTTTCTTTCACAATTCACTTGGAATAACATCCATCTCCTCCTCCCGTTGTTTTCCTTTCCACTATTCCTCCCCCATCACTGATTTTAACTATTTGACTTTACAGAATACTTGTGTTACTTGGGTTCTTTCTCCCTAACATGGTATTTCTCCTTCAAGGTGTTCAAATCTTAAAGCGTACAATACAGACTAGCTAGCTAAGATGCTACGTGCTCCGTTTCTCTCACACATCCTACCCTCTTCGGATCTAGACGATTCACGTAAATGAATATTTTAGTTCGAAATGGGCAAATTTCGCTGAAAAGTGACTAGTTTGCAGGTATGTATATCAAAACAGGAATTATTTTGTGCTTAATTGTCTCCATTTTCCCAAATAAAAATAGAGACAAGAATATAAAACGAGGGTAAAGTGAAGACTGGCGGTCTAAAAATGGTTCAGTGAGTCACTCACAGAAAAGAGCATGTTCTTTTTGTCCTGGTTGACAGCACGTGGGTCTGGCACCGGGTCTGTGTGTTTGATCACAGACACAGACTCTCCTACAAGAAGAGGAAGCAGAAGATAAAAGAACAGAAGCAGCGTTAAGTTTCTACACAGCAAAGCGTGAAGAGGTAATAGCGATGCTTGGTTGACATTTTGGGCAGATTGGTGGAAAAGACTTCTCAGCTGACTGAGCACATTTGACAAGTATCAGATACTGCTCAAGCTCTTGCTTTTCTAAACCCTCGTCCAATGTCAGCTAACACTGCGCGTTCTTTTGGGCATAATCAGCTGTGAAAAGACTGAACAGTTCAAAAAGAACAAGGCAGGGAGCGTTCGACGGGCGGTATGGCCATGAATGGGGAAGGCAAGAGAGGAGAAAATAGCTCAAACACTAAAATATCCCATGGAATTTGCTACCAATTAAGGCAGCAGAGCAAGTCAAGATTTAAGGACTTGATGCATATAAAACTTTTCTCTTGTACATTAGAGCCATCCTTTATCATCCACAGACTTGTTTTTAATCCATTTCAGCAACATTACTCTTTTTTTCTTCAAGATTTGTGCCAAGAAGTCACAATTATCAGGTACAAAGGGTAATTTAAATGTAAAGTTTGTGCGTCCAGGTATGTCCAGAAAAGTTTAAACAAATTGTGAAATACGCATCTTAAATATAAAAACTAACATTTTAGGAGGGAAACAACATTGAAGAGAGAGGGAGTGCTTGTAGTTTAAGAATTTACCTGTAAGAATTGACTGATCCACCCTCAGGGTGGTCGACTTTATAGAAGTCAGCCTGATGTCAGCAGGTACTTTATCACCAACTGTGAACAGAAACATCAAACAGAATGATTTTAGTGTTTTAACTGTTTAAATGCAGCTATAAATAGCACCGGCTACATGATGTGATAGTTTGTGAGGAAAAGAAGGAAATTAAAAAAAGCAAACATGGTTGTTTAGTGATCTTCAACCACGATGTGTCCCAGTTGTAAGAAAAAAATACAAAACAGTTCAAATTAAAAACAGCAGAGTTACACAAATGTCCTGTCAAAGTAATAAAATAATCAAACTTAAGTTATTAGTTTGAGGATGCCAGATGGGAGTCGTGCGTTTAATCTTATTAATGTTCCACTCGTCTCCTCCACGCGATTCTTTTAGGAACAAAAAGCTTCAGTGGTCTCCACAAAAATGTCAAGAGTAAATACTCATAATTCAAACAAGATTTTTATTTGTGTAAATCCAACAAGTGCCATTAAAGGGGCAGACATTAATATCTGTTAAATTAAATAAGCACATTAGACTGACCACTTTTACACAATAAAAATCCTCTACCTTTTTGATTTAATCTGTAATTGTGCCACTATTTAAATTTAAACCTGCATGAAAACTGCTTTTCTTTGCATTTTTCATTTCCATGGCACGAGCGTGGAAACAAATACACAATATTTTACTTTCTGAAAGGTCAAAACCATAAAAGAGGGAAAAACCATCTATTTCAACTAACGGTTTCAGGACCCGTGTATTTATGATGACATTTATATTATTTTAAAGATTTTAAAGAAGAAAGGAGAATGTAAACCTCCACTGTTGCATCAGAGACATTTTTCCAGTCAGACATCACACAGCTTGAAAGGGTGAAGATGAAAGCAATGACCCGGTGGCTCTTTAAAAGAGCACTGTGGACAGTGGAGAGTGGTGACGGACACGTAAACCTCTGCTGTGTCCTTCTGAGAATAAAATAGGAAACGAGGAACGGTCGACAGGGGAAAGGGGTTTACACGAGTCCTTCAATCCACACGCCCAAAAATGGGAAAAATATTTTGATGAGCTTGATACAAGCTGCTGGATTTGGGGGGGAGGGATGCAAAAAAAACATCTGTTTTAAGCAAGGAGATCCCGTTGAACGTCCTGAGCTGAAACAGAAACCCTGACGCGCGGTTGCGTACAGATGGTTCATTCATTGTAACAAGTCTTACGACGTACCTCCTATAGGATTACAGAAACCTGAGTGAGGAAATTGCACTTACTTGTAAAGTAAACAAATCATCTCCAATATTCTGATTACAATAAGGATCTTATTTTAAATTTAAAGACGTATCGTATGTTAATTCACTATAATCCTCACAGACTGGAGCAGCTGCAATGCCTTATTTAGTCCTGCAGTTTCCTACACACCGTTATACCACTTTATTATCACTGGTCTAATTTTGGACTTTATACCTTAAACAGACAAAGAGGGAGATGAACAACGAGAACATGAGGAAGAATACAAAGAACCTGCGGCCACTGGAAATATAAAGACTAAAAGCCTTGTGGGAAGGTTAGCACAAAAACTCACTAATTAGAAAACCCACCAACAGAAAAAAAAAAACAAAACACCTGGCTGTTTTCCATCCATTAGTGTATACAGCGAATAAGGTCAAAGCAAATGAACTAACCTACTTTTACTGGCAACAACGGTGGTGTGGAAACCATAATAAATCCTAACCAGTTTCAATCACTCACATGTCACTGGCTAATATATGCATATTGGTAGCTCTTCATTACATTTTGCACCAAGGGAATGGAAAGATTTTTTTACAATATCGCCCAGAAACATTCTGCAGTGACCTAAATTTCAACTCCACATAAGAGACATTTTGCCTCCGGTCTTACAGAACAAGCTTTTTTTAGCTTTTGTTTTTAATGGGAAAGAGTGAATGACTTGTGGGACAGGAACCTTTCCTTCTCCCTTGTGCACAAAGGATATTATCCAATTATCAGTAATATCTGCTCTCCAGAGAACTGGACAAACGTCAGGCTGCATACACTTAACATCTCATAGCTTGTAAAAACTGAAGCTGCTCTCATGTATTTAGAGGCGTTTGTGTAAAGAAAACTAAAATACAATGAACTGACACTGCAGGGTCTGGAGTTAACATTCCGTTCTGTCCCCAACATGGGGGGTCTAATAAAACAAGGTGTCTATGTTTAAATGCAAGTAGGCTTGCAATGTTCTGGGACTTGTCACGACATCCTGTATCCCAATACAAACTCGTATCATTCAGCAATTTTCAATAAATAAGAAAACCATAACCTGGAAGGCGACCTAAGGAAGAAGCAGACATGTCTAATCAAAAAGCTGATACTGGGTGGTAAAGCGTTCTTAATCTTTAAAAACAAATGATCGGTACAAGCTGCCACCTGGAGCGCAACAAAAATCAAGCTGGGTCCTTCCATCATGTCCCAACCTGTTGTGCTCTCCTTTCACCAGTTCAGGATTTACAATAGGAGTAAAAAAAAAAAACATTTTTGTAAGGGCTGAATGACTCGACGTGTAAGTTTTCACTTCTACCCCGTCTTAAAACTAACAGCTAGAAATACAGGTCATGTGTCATAAAGAGGTTTCCTAGTTTTTATTAGCATAATCTCCATTATGACGGCCTCATTGAAATAGAACTTGTGTAACGTTAGTGAGTCAAATCCATCTACACGCTGGAACTGCAAAAACCAGTGGCTCGTCTGTACCCGTTCTGTGGGAGGAAAACAAACAAACTTCATGCTGGTTTAATAATCCAATATCCGTTACTAAAACAGTCATCTAAGTAACCGTGTAATCATTTTTTTTTGTAAATTTTATTTCATTCATTTACAGTTTAAAATAAATATGTCACATGTTGACATAAAACAAAAGTTCTGAATGAAAAGGAGTAGTCTGAAGAAAAAAGAAGTCGATCTACTACACCACAAGCAACCAAGTTTCAATCAACCATCCATATAGACACATTTTGAACAAAAAATTTAATATTTAATTTAATAATGCTTAGGATAAAATAAGTATTAGATTTCAGACCATAAACATAAATAAATATGGACTTAAAAATAATTTATTGAAAAGTAAAACTGATGAAGTCTAAAGTTTACTGGAGTCTTTGATGCTGTTGAGGTTTGTAACGTTTTCTTAAATGGGTCATGAGATGAAGTAATATAATTACTAATATTAGTGAAACATTTCAAAGACGGCAAAACAGTTTGGGAAATTGACTTTTGTGACCCATACTATCCAAATTAAATGTCTTCATACCTTTGTTTCTTGACTTACATGAACTCAGTAACCATCAGTCCTATACGACCACCTGCAAACTGCTTCTAGATACAAAGACAACGTGGGACTAGGCCCGTCACGATAACAAATTTTGCATGGCAATTAACTGTCTCAGAATTTATTGCGATAAACGATAATGTTTGAAATTTGACAATAATTAGTAATTATTATCAAATTTAAGAAGGAATGTTGGTTAATTTTTGTGTAGTACCTTTTTTGACCACCGGATGGCAGTATAAGACTGAACCGAAGGATGGATAGTGAGGGAGCGAGCAGCGTGCCTCTAAGAAAAATGGGAGGGAGGCCTCTTGATGTGACATGGGCTGTCTGTCCTTTTTTCAGATTCTCAAAATGGCGGATGCTCAGTGTGGTTTGAGCTTTAGCATAGCATTTTTCACACAAAGTTTTTAATAAAAAAATAAATCGGTAAACAAGTTCTCAGCTTCTTTTTGCAGAGATAAACAACTTTTTACACAAAAGGCACGGGTTTCAACCGTGAATTTTGGAGCTTCGACAAGACGGAGGTTTATTAAAACCAGAGTGGAACACCCCCAAAACACACTAAAAATATCAGTACCACAAAGCTGGTGACCTAACCAGAACTGTGTGTTTGTATTGAATTTAACGATCAGGTTTAAGTGATTCAGATTTCTTTTTCCTTTGCCTCGCTTGGATTTGGGTTGGTGTAAACAAGAATTTCCTCAAGGATGTGAAGTAAACAGTCAATGGTGGGAAAGTAATACACTATGAAGTATCTGGGGATCTGAGCCTTGGAGGAAAAACTTTGGCTGTAAAAGCCCAAGTTTGGAAGCTTTGTCACTTTAAATTACCACTGACCTGTTATCAGCCCATTGTAACTATATACATAACTCTAAACATCTAAAAATTGAAAACCATTTTAAAAAAGGTTCCATTAAAAGTTCAGAGCTGATTCAAGCTGCAAACTTTACATCCTTTCTCAACTTCAATACCAGAGTGTGCAAACTGTTTCTGGCCTTGTTTTCTCCTGCTGCTTTATGTTTTCATATTGCAGTTCTAAACTTAATGTGGATGCAAAATGCATCATTTTTTATTTAGTAATAAACACTGTTTAAAAACAGAAGCAGATAACTAAAAACAGACATCACTAAATGATGTTGCAAACAGGTGAGCGGCACCTAATTGACCCACGCTGAGAGGCATTCTCAGTCGGTGACTACTGTTTGAACCAGCACTTAAAAAATGCCCTCTGGTGATATATAGTTTGGAAATAATAGAAACATCATGGGTTTACAGTGCTGTTGCAAAATACACAGCAAATGAAATCATTGTAATTAGTCATTACATTTTCTCTTTACTGTACGGTTGTTATGCTCAGACATTGATTAATGTGTTCCAGTTGCATCAAACTTAATTGGAGTGCAGCATTTCACTTTCTGTAATCAAGTAGAAGAAACTGGAAACAGGCCAAATCTGTTTATCTAGTGTCACCGACTATAAAAAAAAACAACCGACTGTGAGGGAAATGTATTAATCATCGCTTGGGAGCAAAGAAAACATGTTTGTTTTGTTTTGAAATGGAAAAACAAACATTAATACGAATGGAAAAAAAGCTACACTAAAAGGAAGATAAAAAATTAGAAACACCCCAACAAACAAAACCGCAGTAAGAATCCAAAGAACAGCAGCGCAGTGACAAAAGGCAAACATATGATCCTATACACGTCAGGGTCAGCCAACAGTTCAGGAACATTCAAGCAACACAAAACATTTGGGATATTAAATGGACCAGCTAATAAATGTCATCTTACCTGCCACCTCTACAATGTCCCCCGGCACAATGTCTCTGGCTTTGATTCTCTGGACACTCTTCCTGTCCTGGCGGTACACTTTCCCCATCTCTGGCTCGTACTCCTTCAGAGCTTCAATGGCATTTTCTGCATTTCGCTCCTTAACAATAGAAAGTTGGAGGGAGGGGGAATAATGTCAAACAGTTCACACAGTGTAGATTAAACAAAGAACGCTAAAAATAAAATATTTGTCAATATCTAATAAGTCATTGTAGATGTAATCAAAATTTGCAAATTGGTGAAGAAAATGTCATGTTTTTTTTTTAAAGTATTTCTAAACAAAATGGCAGATAGTTGTGATTGTAAAATAAAATAAAAAACAGGCATTACATTTTCATTTTACTGTACTTGTTTCACATTTTTAAGTAAAAGCGCTATTAATTTAATGTTACAATGGCATTTTCACTCCAAGTTCTTTAAAAGTTTCGTTCCCGTCTGCTACAACTTCATATTTTATTGTCTGGTGAATTTCGCAAAACTTAGATCGCCTTGGTGTCAGATCCCAGTCCGGCTGTTCAACGGGCAAGACATGAGCAGACGATGACACACGGAGTATACAACAACATAAAATTATGGCCTTTACGAGAGAAAAACCACAAGGACAAGTAGGTTTCTCAAAAGTAAATAGCCTACTGTATTTGAATAAGTCAAAATACATTTGCTTGTGTATCCAAAAAAGTTCAATCTGGTCCTCTGGACATTCAAAAAAACAAAAGCAAAACAAAGCAAAAGAAATCTAGAAACGTTTCGTCTCTCATCCAAGAGACTTCTTCAGTCTGAGGTGCTGTTTTCAGCTCAGTCTCTTAAATAGCACCTTCTTAGAGTGGATCAACCAGTTTGCTGCTGACAACCAAAACCAGCTGATCACATGCTCAAGAAGGACCATCAGCCTAACAATGGGTCATTAGCACACTGATGGCTGTTTACTATTCACAGAGGGCTGAGTGATACTAGCAATCACAGCATTGTAAGAGGGGGACAGTTGAACATGGAGGCCTCCACCCCTGTTTAATGATGGACGGTTTCTTTTCACAAAGATGGCCTCCTTTACTCCTCTCTCAAACCATCGTTCCTCTCTGTCCAGGATGTGAACATCTTCATCCTTGAAAGAGTGACCGCTGGCCTGGAGATGAGTGTAGACCGCAGAGTCCTGGCCTGATGATGTTGATCCACTCTAAGAAGGTGCTATTTAAGAGACTGAGCTGAAAACAGCACCTCAGACTGAGGAAGTCTCTTGGATGAGAGACGAAACGTTTCTAGATTTCTTTTGCTTTGTTTTGCTTTTGTTTTTTTGAATGTCCAGAGGACCAGATTGAACTTTTTTGGATTTTTCTACCTGGATTATTGAGCATGCATCAGGATATTTGCTTGTGTAGTTCAGTAAAAATGTCGCAAAATATTACGCATTCACTCCATTTTCAACTCGCCCTTTAACGAACATTAACTTTACAAGACAATACAGAATATCCACCACACAAACCTGATATCTTTAACCAAGCAAAATGCATTATTCATAATAATCCAAACTAGTTTGTTTTTTTAGCATTTCCCCCACAAAAGATTTAATCTTAAATAACTGCCCATTTAGAGTTTACCATTAAGAAAATGCTGCTTTTATGATGTTGAAATGTATCGACTGAGATGTTTTTCATGGACTGTGCTTTACAGTCACTATGCATCTTTAACTACTTGCTTCTGGTAATAGTACAAAAGTACATTTCCATTGACAGACAAATGACAGGACAAAATCTGGTAGGGAACATCTGACAAATAAAACATCTTATTTGAATCATATAAAAATGTTTATTTACCTGCCAGACTCCAACAATGGCATTTGCTATGAGAATAAGCAAGATAACAAAAGGCTCCACGAAGGCTGTAACCGTTTCTTCTCCTTCTTCAAACCAGGCCAGCACCTGCACACGAACCAAAGAAACAATCAGAAATTAGTTGCGCAACAATTCAAGTCTCGATGAGACAACTGAAGACCACCATCTCTGCTCAATTAAAAGATGAACCAAAAATTTATACTTTCTCATCCCAGATTAGAGTCTCGTATTGTTGATTTAACAACGTTAGGAGGACGGTTAAACGTTCAAGTCAATCGTAAATGAAAATTGCCTTTAAAGATCAATAGCAACCTGGTGAGATCAAGTCAATTATAAAATAGACAAAAATAAAATTGCCCGGAACATGAAGGCATCACATGAGCTGCAGAGAAAGAGTCAAAGTTCAACACTTCTCACGTGATTCAACATGTTCAACCAGGACCAAGTCAGACATGACTAATCACTTTTTGTTTAGTATTGTATAACATTGTGCTGTAAGTTGATAGGACATTAAAAGGGTATTTTAGATAAAGGAAGCTTTAATGTTTAAAAATGACAACTGTACAATTCATTTAACAAGTTGAAATGACTGAATATAAACACTGAAAAAATATTAGCTGGCTTTTCTGACTGTTTTGATGGCGGTTTTCCCAAAAAACATTATATTCACATAGCTCTAGACTAGTATTTAGTTAAGAGCATGATTAAATGGTTCAAATATAAGTCATTGGTAATTAATTGTACACAATAGAAAATACAAAAAGTTTGTTAAATTTCAATGAGATGGGTTTGCATTAAAACTACAGCATCAAGTAACTAAATGTTGAAGTTTCTTCTTTGTAGTACCTTGCCAGTAGCTGAGGTAGTAAAAAAAATCCACCAATCTGGTGTATTTGTACCAACGAATAGCTATTTTAGGATTTATGATAAACAGGTCAGTTTTTCTAGAATGGAGATTAAAAGAAACTGATAAACCACAAAGCTATGCCCTTGAGCGCCTATCTGTGCCAGCAAACCCTGACTTATAACCAGGAACCTTATTTTTATTTTAATGCAGAGAAAAGTGTGCAAACAAAAGCCAACGCTCGTTTTCCTCCTGTTGCCAGCGCTGCACAAAAGAGCCAAACGTGTTAGTGGTTCCTGAGCTCAGTCCTCTCTCCTCCTTAATCTGTGCCAGGAGCTGAGTGCGTTGAATGCGGCGCCAAATAACCCAGTCTTGTTCTACAGTAACCTACTTGGGACAAAATCAGTTAAGGTCGAATCACATTATTTGTCAATTATCTAAACCAATTTATTTAAAGTGTCTAAGTTTGAAAAGCATCTATACAAGTTTCTAGTTAAATAGTCACAATTTAAAGTAAATGTCCCGAGTCTGCGTGTGTGGTGAGGATGAACGCACACACCATAGGGTCACTTGTGATTTTATAGAATTTTAAGAGTGTAATCACTTTTGCTTGAGTGATATTCTCACTCGCTGGAGCTAAAGGTTTAAAGCACGTTTACAAAATCAACATGCTTCGTGACAGCATGAATACAATACATGTTGAGACATGTAGACTTTTAGTCATTCCTATAATGGTAATTTAATAACTAATGAAACTGATTCATCAGATCTGTTGCTTTCATGCTTTGACAGCATGCTGCTCATTTCAACATGGTTTATAATCTGACATGCAAATGTGACATCCATTTCCAGATTATCACCAAGTCAAACTACCTTCCTGTGAACACAGTTGTCCCTGTTTAGTGTCACCAGACAAACAGTGTGAACCCTTATAGTCCACTTTGAACAGCATTCTTACTTGGCTGTGATCTGCACAAAACCATCAGAAAATGATTACCGGTACATCCAAGAAGGCAAATGGACATGAACTAAAAATGAAAGACCCAAAAAAACTCAAGTTAAGAAAACGGTGATGAAGATGAAACCAAGAAATATTAATTTCAGTTTCATCATGGTCACCAGTGAAGATGCAGCATAGTTTCCTCAAATGTTGCCATGTTGTTGCCATTTTTCTGTGTTACGGTTCCATTTTCACTTAACATATACACATTTAAACCTCATATAGCAAAGATAAAATTACAGACTGCCCCAGTGACTTCCAGTTAGCCAACTGTCCAGTCAAATGCCACTGCAAATGAAAAAAACAAAGACCCAGAAAAAAAGAGAAGCAGGGGTAAAGACTATAGAAAAGTCCGTTTGAACCTTAAGGCTATTCCTCTGCCCAACCAACGCCTGGCTCAAGTCCAGCTACAACAGAGCAGAATGACTTCAATTAGCTTTGAGGTGCAGAAATGAGAAATCTTTACTGTCCACTCTTCCACCGATACTCCTCTCCAACACAAGTGGATGTGCCAAGCTGACGAAGCACAAGATGCTTGTGAAGGAAGAGGACATTGTCTGCATTAGTAGAACTTAGTGCTCAGTGAAGAAACGAGGACGTGGAGGTCTATTGTTTTTAATAAGTTGTCACTTTTGCTACATTAACCTTTAGTGTTGTTGAAATTTTGCCTGATGCAATTCAAATAAAAAGGCACAATAATGATACTGTTAGCAGTAAAGCAAGCTCCAACATCCGATTTTCTTCATAATTTTAATAAAAAAAATTGCATATTCTTTAAGAAATTGTGTATTAAACATGTCACTGTTTATTAATTCAAAGAGTGCTTTGGTTTTGGTGAATTAATTTCTGATTGTGTTTTTTTAATAAGGAGGAGAATAACATTAGGATAATGTGTAATTTTTTATACCGGTTTGTTTTTCAATGCAACTTATTTACAGTTTTAAGCTTGTTCTGAACACCAGACTGTTCTGATGAAAGAGAAGCACACAAAGTGTACAAATTACAATCTCAGTACAATTTACATTTACCCTAATCTTAAATGTCGTCTAGAAACAGCCACATTCATTAGTATCATATCTCTGTCACAACACATATGAAAAAAATAAAATAAAATAGATAAGCAACTTGGTTTTATACAAGTGTGGAAGTTAGATATGAACTAATGAACATGCCATTTCATGTCAAGTTCACGTCACGTCAAGTTTTTCCAGATGTTATCTGACAGAGGTGCATAAGACAAAAAAAAAGTAAAATTCTGATATGCCTAAATTACATTTCATTGTCCAAAAAATTGGACAGTTAAGTTACACATTTGATACACAGGGCAGCTGTGGCTGAGTGGTTAGAGCAGTCGTCCTCCATTGCAAGAGTTGGGGGTTCGAATCCACCAGCACTCACATGCCGAAGTGTTCCTGGCCAAGACACTGAGCCTCTCATTGCCTCCGATGCGTCCCATCGGTTTATGACAGAGATGCACCAATCCGATACAAATATTGAAAAAAACTTCTGGATCGGGTATCGGTGACAATGTGACCGATCCATGACTGGGCAGATCTATTCACTCTAACTCGATGCTTTGTGCTCTGAGTGACGTCGCGCGCTAGCGTACTGACTGAACAAATTAAAGTTGTGTTGTTTTTACATGTTTGACAAAGCTTGTGAAGCTGTGTGTGTTTAAGTGTGCTGTTATGGTGCAGAGTTTTCAATAAATTTCTAATTCAGTACATTCATGTCTGCGTAAAAAAAATAGTTAAGTTAATTCAGCACTGGGTTTGTAAGCTCAATCATCCAGGTAAACAAAAATGGCTAAATCATGATTTAGCCATTTTTTTTTTTTTGTTAATTCAGCTGTATCGGATCGGTATCGACGGCTACCTAGCAACGGGTATCGTATTGGATTGGAAGTGAAAAAAGTGGATCCGTGCATCCCTAGTTTATGAATGTGATAAAGCAATGATTAGTCACTTTAGAATGATTTGTTCTATTAGCTTTGTATAGATCTATTAGAGCCCTGTATGAATGGGTAAATGAGGACATAGATTGTTGTGTAAAGCGCTTTGAGTGTCTTGATAAGATAGAAAGGCGTTATATATGTAGAGTCCATTTACCATATCCATTGGTTTATGAGATTTTTAAGTTACATTTTACACAATGTATGAATTTGGTTGGGTTGTAAATTACTTATATATATATATATATATTACGAGTTTTGTAAAATAGTCTATTAGAACTGCCTGCACACTTCAATGAGCAATAGCTAAAGGTCACAAATCTGTGTAGCTCCTGCAGGTCATAAAGTGATAAGTTCGGGTACAATTGGTCCAATACACTTGAGAAATGCAACAGTGGACATTTGTACACACTTGTGTGTGACTTTTGTCTCCCCTAACTGATTCACACCAATTTATTGAACGAGACACGTGCGCAGCTTATTAAAGGTGTGTCATACTTACAAAAGATATGCAGGCAGCAAGTAAAAGGATCCTCACAAGCAAATCTTCAAACTGTTCCACCACCAGTTCCCAAAGAGATTTACCTAAAAAAATAACAGCCGAAACAGATCGTTACCTTGAGAACTTATTTAAATAAAATTCATTCGACATCTTTGAAGTGCAGAGTGGTCTGCTCACCCTCCTCTGCTGGCAGCTCTGCAGATCATTCAGGCCGCAGGGGAAAGAAAGATGGACAGGCAATTACTTCAATGTTATTACTTGTTGTAGGACAGTGAGTTGCTGCGGTAGTGCTGCACATGACACAAGAGTTGTTTATTAATTCCGTCCCGTAAGGGATGCTTAGCAGTATTTCAACATCACGCTCTGTGACGTCAATCTTTTTTTTTTTTTTTTTCATGAACTCGCCGTTACGCTTTCAGCCTCTACCGGGCCATGCAATAAAACCCGGCAAAGTAGCTTCTTCTTGTGTTAAAACTAACACATTTAAACCAAATCCTTACCGTTTGGTCCATATCGCTCCCGCTGCTTCTTCACTTCCTCTAAACTCAGACCAGTGCTTTCATTTACGTTAAAAAAGCTGAAAACTTCTTCGACCGTCTTCGTGTGAGCGTTGTCCATGGTGAGGGCACCGCTTGTTCCGCTGCCTGCTCCCAACCACAACCGGTCACAGTCCTTTTCCTCTCCGCCGGTGTCCCGAGCAGCGTGATTTAAATCAAGAATATATAAAGATATGAGAGCGAAACCCCCCACCTGTGGCGACTGTAGATTAACAAGTACACAGCACGGCGTGGGAAGCAGGTGTACCGGCCAGAGCGAACGAATTAGCGGCTTCTGTGCTAACGAGGAGCTAACAGGCTAAAGAGGCTCTGGTGCTCCGCTAGTCCTCTCGTGAGAGCTTCGACAACGAAACCATATCAAGGCCGAATCGGTTAAACGTCGCCCGCGCTCGTTTTTACAATTTTAAACGAAGCGAAATCGAAGGTTAATGTGCCCAAATGGATCGTTTAAACATGTGGTTCTGGTGCTGCTCGGCTCCTTGTCGCCCTCTCCGTCTGTCTGTGTGTTGCGGAATCACCAGGATGGCGTTCGGCACCAATCGCGTCTCTTCGTCGAATGCGGCGTTCAGTGTCCGCATGTGGAATGCGCTCATTGGTTGGAGACACCGGAAGTCCCGCTTTCTCTCTCTCTCTCCACGACCGCTGTGCGTAGAGGTGGATGCTGTCATCATGGCTGTCATATAATGTACAGCCATGTGGCAGGCTGTTGTAACATATAATCAAACTACTCCTATCTTTATGATTTGCTTTTTACATGACAATACAGTAACAAGATTTATTCTAATTGTGTGAATGTTTATAAGCATTCACACTGTCCATATTTTTCTTCCATCATTTTTCGGCATCTTCCTCGTCCCTTTGTGCTATTTCAACAAATCATAAATCAAAACGTTCAGCTCGTTCAGGAGAAGGGCGCTATGACTTTTAGTATTGGTGAAACTTTAGCTTTTTGAAATATTATCCTTTTCTGTCACTCTTTTCTCATAAAAAATGAATTGAGCTCATTTACATCCTTCAAATCTTATCTGTTTACAACCTTTTATTGCTCCTTTCACATTTTGTTCTGGTTCAGCTCAGCTTCATTGTGCAAAAAAAAAAAAAAAAAAAATCAGCTACTTTCAGCTGTTTCAGCTGTGCTTTCAAATTCTTTCTTTCTGCTAACTAGAACATTTTTGTGCTTCTTCTAACTTCCTTCTGCTAATTTCAGTTTGCTCCCTTCAGCTCATGCAAGTTTCAGCTTTTTCTGCTATTTTAGCTAGTATTTAGTTTTGTGACTATTTCCACTCATTTCAACTTTTTTCAGCCTAATTCAGCAAAAAAGTAAGAAAAAAAGTGCTCTCTCTCCACTTCTGGTCATTTAAGCTTCTTTCTTCTTTTTTTAGCTACTTTTCAGCTGTTTGTTTGCTAATTTCAGCTTTTTTCATGTGGAATAATTTCCACTTATTTGTGCTCATTTCTGCGTCTTTCAGCCTAATTGGCCCAACGTGTTATTTCTGCTTTCTTCTGCTAATTTAAGCTTGTTCTACATTTTCAGCTACCAATTTTTAGCTAATTTCAGCTGTTTTCAGATAGATTCAAGTTTTTGTTGCAATTTTAGCTACTTTCAGCCTAATTAACTTCTTTCTAGTCATTTCAGCTTGTTATGCCCATATATATATATATATATGCTGAAACATTAAAGATTTATCTTTGTAGATTTAGTTATTTAAGAGAATAGGTCATATTTTACTGACATGTGTTCAGTAAACTTTATTGAACAAAAAGTACAGCTTTGAGTTCCATATTCCTGTTAGTAATATTCATTTCCAAAAAATTCCAGTCTCTGCCAGTTTATTTGAGTGAGTCATTTGCTTTCTTTCCATCTTCTTATCATGGTGACAAAGCTTTTATCTATCACTGGAGTAGTCTCTGAAATGAAGCAAATACGTTATCTTGGGCAGCTTGGACTATTTGCTTCAAAATCCTCAAAGAAGTTTAGATAACGCAGAAGTTTGATGTTTCTGTCACCGCTCTTGAAGACAAGTCATTTCCAGACACTGTGATGAAAAAGTTGGGAACAAACTTTGTTTACAAATCCATCCATCCATCCATCCATCCATCCATCCATCCATCCATCCATC